CTCTTGACCGAGTCGCCTGTCAAACTTCAGCCATAAAAAGAAAAAAAAAATGGGGCATTAAATTGTGTATACAAGTTTTTAAAAATAGGTGGCAATTGTCACTTAGGAGCTTTTAACGAAAAATGCAAGAAATCACATTTTCCTAATATAACAGTAATATGTACCTTTAAACATTCACAATACTTTCATGCGAAAATTTAATCAATATCGTCACATGGTCGTTACACAAAAAACTAAATAAATAAGCTAACTTATTTTAATGAGAATGTCTGCTTTTCTCACGTTTTATTCTGAAGCTTTTAAAAGTTGCAAACAGTGACGCTGCCGGAGGGGGGGGGGGGTAAGCGGTGGGGGTATGCCTGAAAGAAACACTGTTACAACTCAACGAATATAGAATTGACAAGCAGAAAAAAGAAACTTTTTTTTTTTAAAACAAAAACTAATTATATTTTGTTTCTAGATTATTTGCTTACTTATAAGAAGGGCCTTAATTTTATCTATACTTAAATCTGTAATTTAAAACAAGGTAATTAAAAAGTCTAGTGACAATTTTAGCGCAATTTCCTTACGTTATCTAAAAATAGCTCTGTCGTAGCGTAAATCAAGAGCAGGGTTAGTAAAACCATTGGTTAGTTATTAAAACGTTTTTTATTAATTTTTTTCAGTATTTTACATGTTTTATTTACAATAGAGTTACATGACTAAAAACCATTGCGCGCCTACTGAACGTGATGGCGCAGCCATGGAACGCGATGGCGCAGCTATTGAACGTGATGACGCGTGTGGTGTGGTTGGAAAAAATGCCTACTAATTCGGTCCAAATTTAATTAATTCAAAAATTTTTTGTCACCGAACGAAAGGATATTTTTGAAAACTTTCTTCGGCAATATTGTTCTAAATTATGGCAGGAATCGATTGGTACATGTCTCAAGTCGCTAAGTGGTCTGGTTGCCGAGATATGGGCCAAAAACTGAATTTTTTCGAGGTTTTTTGGCTTTTCCGGGAAATACATGAAAGAAACCCGGAATTTTTATGGCCTATGCTCATTCTCGTAACTTGCTTAACATAATTGCTTTTGGAACTAGTCATCGATATTGCTTCGTTGAGGAGGAGATACGACTTAAAGCCCGGACACACATTCATTCATCCATACATTCATTCATCCATACATTTATCCATCCATTCCCAGAAATGACGAGTTAATAAACGCAATTCTCCAGAATGGAAATTGCGCTAAAAAATATTTATAGCAAACTTTAAAAATTATATTTGAGCATTTATTTTAGTAGATCTAGATCTCAATTAAATTTCCAAACCAGGTTTTATTTTGGAGTCAATCGGAAGAGGATATCTTCTTTTGCTTTCGCTTGTTCTGTGGATTTTCCCGTTAAAAATATGCCATGATCTTGATTCGACACCTTGCAGCTACTTAAAACGATTTTTCATAATTTGTTTTAGATCTAAAAATGTATAAATCACCTCTATTTAAAGTTGCTGTTGTTGGAGGCTTTGTAGTTTTAGGTTCAGCGATATGGGTTGAAAATCGTATTAATAGTAAGTAAGTAGATCTAGTAGATCTAGATTCTAGACTAGATCTAGTAGAATTAGAATCTACTGCCACTGCTAGACTTCTAGAATCTAGGTAAAGGGGTCACTAGGTGCTAAAAGAGTAAAAAGTAAAAGTGCTAGAATCTAGGAATTTAGGCCAATTTAGGGGTCGTCCATAAATGACGTCACACTCATAGTGGGGAAGGGGGTCCGTAATTTTGTGATGGTGTGTGATGAGGGGGAGGGGCGTTCAAATGGTGCGACGTCACACTTTTGCATTATAAAAAAAAAGTTAATAAAAAGTCTAGTGACAATTTAAGCGCACTTTTCCTTAATTAATATTTTGTGACCGAAGGAAAGGATATTTTTGAAAACTTTCTTCGGCAATATTGTTCTAAATTATGGCAGGAATCGATTGGTAAATGCATTTTTTCAAGGTTTTTTGGCTTTTCCGGGAAATCCAGGAAGGAATTCCGGGAATTTTTTTGGCCCACAATCATCCTCGGAACTTGCTTAACTGATTGCTTTTTGGAACTAGTCCTCGATATTGCTTCGTTGAGGAGGAGATACGACTTAAAGCTGCGGACACACATCCATCCATCCATCCATCCATCCTTCCATCCATCCAGAAATAACGAATTAATAATCGCAATTGTCAGTATGGAAATTGCGCTAAAAAGCAATGTTAGAAAATGAATTATAGACGTTATTTCGCGTTATAGAAAACTGTTTTAATAAATTGCAATAGGAATTGATTAAAATACTCTATTTTGGCAGAGTTCAGACACGATTTTGGAAAAATATCGATGTTTTAAGAAAAATTCAACTGCAATTTTGATGGGGGGTTGTAGGCCGAGATGTGACGTCATTTTAGGGGGGGGTCTGGATTTTTGTGACGGAGGGGAGGGGGGTAGGTAAAAATCGTCAAGAAAAAGCGTGATGTCATTTATGGATGACCCCTTAGGTGCGTAATCGGCTGAGGCTAGTAATGTTAAAAAAGTTGCCTCATTGTACATTGTAAACCTTGTGATCAATACACAGACTAAGATTTTAATTTTAAAATGTTATAATTGACAGATAACTTCAGAGCGCAAGACTACTACAGAAATGCTGTAACATTGTTACACAAATATGAACCAGCCGGCCAGATGTTAGGTCGACCTATCTACAGTGGGAAACTGGACCTGTCTAATGCTGATAAATTTAGAGTTGATGGTACCACTGCAAAGGTAGTGTGTATTTAAATGGTAGTTTTACAAACAACATTCTATTGGCTTTTAAATTTTGAAATCTTGGCAAAATTATATTAATTTTTGTGACGCTTCAACCATATTGATTAAAAATAGATCTAGGGCTAGGGATAGCAAGTATGTACTTGAAACATGATAATTTGCTTTTTGGAAGAGATTAAGAAATTAGTTTAACCTTTTGAACACTGGCCTCCTTGGCCTAATTTCTCCCATTTCCTGAACTCCCAGGCCCAAACAAATTTTCACTTATCTGCTTCTAACTTTGCCTATATTTATATACCAATAATAGTTTTATATACTTACTGAATGTAATGACAAAACTAGAGTAACTTACCTATTTACTGTTATTATAATAATAATTATAACTAAATAGTAAAATAATATAAAATAACAGATTTTTTTGTTGACAGTGTATTTTACAAAATGCAAACACTTTCAGCTTTCCCCAAAATCTTTTTTTAGAATTATAGCCCTGCACTAAAAAGACATGTGCGCTGTGTTATTCATTTCGCTGCTAATTATATTTAATAAGATGATATACTAGTCCCTAGGAATATAACGCTAGATCATCTGGCTGGAAAACCGGCTTTTTGGACTTATATGCCTAATTTTGAAGCCGGTTTTCAGGCTTGTTGGGCTCAAAGAGTTAAAAACTTGTATCACAAATAATATAAACATTACTATTGTTTGAATTATAGGTATTTGATAGGGAAGAGTGGGGGGGGGGGGGGCTTTGAAATGTTAATTTAGGGATTATTTGTGTGTTCATTAATTTATTCGTCAGTTATCACGCAAGGCAGGTGTGGGGAGGGGGTATTGACTAAAAGATAATTTAACTGATTGATGACCCTAAGCCCTACTTGTTACTAACAATGGTAAATTAGCCCTAATTAATGTTAAGAGATCTAATTTTGTTTAAACATAATTTTTGGTCATGCTGTTATGTGAGGCTGGTCATATTCTGTGATATTAATCATCATTTAAAACAATTATTTCCTAATCAAAGTAATTAAAATATAATGTTTGTATTATTGATTACATTTTTCAGCTCACTATTCCATTAAAAGGAGCCAATGACAAAGGTACCCTGTACGTCTTAGCTAGCAGAGACAAACTTGGAGAACCGTAAGATCTTTAAACAAATACCATATTTTAAGGCATAGTAGTATAAGGCGAATGGAAGTACAAAACTATCCCCAACATTTCTAGTTAAAGTATAGAGTTTGTGATATATAACAGCCCTAACTATAACTTAAATCACCCGACTTGAAATGATTTTCCAAGGTTAAATATTATCTCATTCGTAGTTGTATTTTCTTCTTTTTTTTTAAATTCTAGTGTTGGAAGAGATTCCCTCCAACACAACTAAGTATTACAAATCATCTAATGTGACATAAAGGCCTGCTTTTCTTTTTGGATTTGCTTCCATAGCTTTTTGTTCAATCAAAAACAAACTAAAAGGCAGTATTTGTTTGATTTTGGAGTTGTCTCACCTAGAATGGCTGTCCCCAGCTATCAAGCCTCACCTGCCCAGGGGTCACTTGAGACTGTTCGGTTCAGCAACCATGATCTTAACCAACCCAACCATGCAGACCTCCCATAGTTGTTTGATTTAGGAGTTTAGTCTCCTAGATGGGTTGCTATACCCCGGCTGACTAGCCATATTTGCATGGGCTCCGAACTCAAGACTGGAGTTAGCAATCTTTTGCACTTCTGCTCAACACTTAAATTTCTTATAATTTATACTGTATTTTCCAGCGTGTAAGACAACAACCCATAAAAATCCCATATGCTGGAATATACAGTAATTTATTTTGTTTAAAATTAGGAAGGTTGTATTTTTAATAATTATATGTAAGTAATACCATATTCCAAAAAAATCTACCTTTTATTCTACAAGCAATCAATACGCAACAACTGTTTACATTTCAGGTGGAATATTGACCAGCTGGACCTCGAGATAAAAAGCACTAAAGCGAGATGGAAGTTTTATGACAGACAGCTAGCATCTAACAACAGAGATAGTGAGTCAACAACACAGTCAGACAACACAGACAGTTTCAATTGACCCAGGCAGCATCAGAACCATTAGATATTGCTTTATTGGTAACATTTAAATTAATTTACATTTAAACTTCTTATCTAGTTCTTGAATTTCCAGCTAAAACTGAAGGTGAACGTTTGAACCCACCCTTGTTAAGTTCTGCTTTTTCTTTGAAAGTTCTTGTCTAGCTTTTTAAGTTTGGCCTAGCTAATTTCTAACCATCCTCAAGTCCTACATTTTGACCTTGTAATCTCTAGCTTAGCCATGAAAATTAGAACCAAGCTCACCACTTCAGGTTAAAAATAGTAAGATCTACCAGTCCCATTAAATAAAAATAACAAATAATTCTTTGTTGAATAAAACTAAAGGCAAAGGGCTTAGTTTACTCAAAAAACCACTGATATTTTGTATTGTTTTACACCTACATAATTTATTCAAGTGCCAGAATTTTAGTGGAATGTGAGCAAAGTTACTATTGCATGATTAGAAGTTACGTTATCAGCTCAATAGTATGGTCGACGAAAAATATTTTTACCCATTTCATTTGAATTAAAATTTTAACCCCTTGCCTACTTTTTGTTTCAAAACCAAAGTTAAATTCAAATTGACAGAACATAAAAGTAATGTAATGAATAGCTGCAACAGCACTTTACACTCTGTGAGTTGTAATGATTTCTCTAGAGTAAATGTTAGCTGGTGTCACATTATTTTGATAAAACAGTGTGAGATTAGGTTATTTTTAAAAATGTTTACAGTTCATGCCAAATCTTTGGGTGAGTAAGGAATGGTGTGTTATTTTTCTGTTCAGTGCACATGTGTTATAGTGAGTTGTGGTATTACCACCAGCTGTTGTGAATTTTTTCCCTTGCAAACATTTATAAAAGATGTGAAAATGAGGGTACAACTGTTTATTGGAGAATGCTGTAAGTTTAGTTGTATCATGGTGTTGATAGAAGTTCTTGACTGGACTGGCAAAGCTACAATGGAGACAGAATTTTGTGTTTTCTAAACCCAAGTGTAACCCATTTTTCTATGATTGTGTAAATATTTTAATTTGTTATTACACATTATTGTGTAATCTTGCTATGTATTGTACACTTGACATGATGTTGGCTAGTTGTCATGGTACACAATAGTTCACTTCCAGCTAGAGGGTTCATTAATTATTTTATCATCACCTGATGTTCATGTATGATTTAAACGAAAATCTAATTTTTAATTGTAAGCTTTATTTTTATCGGCTTTTAGTCTGTTGGAATTTCAACACATTTGTTATTGACTAGAGCAGTTGTGTTTGATTGTGTTTTATTGCAGCATTGATTGTGGTCAGCTGATAATTTTTTTGTTTGCTTCTTTTTTTCAGTGCATTGTTTTTTTAAATTCCCTTTTTGGGATAGAGCTATTTATTTATAAAAGTACCTCTAGTTATTCTTTGTTCAGCTTAGCTTAGCTCAGGTTTGATAAGTTTCCTTTGATTTTTCCCAAATGCGTATCTTGATTAGCTACCAGGTAATGGTTGAAATCAATTCTTTATCAAAGAAAATGTGTATATATTGTATAGTACATTAAAACTTATGCTAAGATTGACATTTCTTTTTTACCTCATTTTTTATAACACCTTTCCCAATTAGGAATGCCACAGATGTTGCAGGTAATGTAAACAGGAATGTTGCAATTATAAATTAAAACTATTTGACTCGCTACCACTTAAGTTGTATATCCTGGACTATGCAGTTACTGTTGTAATACAACTTGTATCCTGTAATTACTGCAGCCACCATACAAAACTCACTATTCAGGTTAGTGATGAAGATTCTTCAGCAAGCAGAGATTCCTGTACCTGACAATTGTCCTTGATATTTTGACATAAAGCACACTTCACCACTCACTGCTGACTAGGGGTCGGTGTGGTCGAGTCTGTAAAGCTCATGTTTTCTAAAGTGGAAAGTCTCGAGTTCGAGACCTGGGGCAGATGAAGCTCGACAGCTGGGTACAGCAAATCCTCTAGGAGAGACGACTTCAAAATTAAACAACTGCTGAATTGAAGTTTGTTCTCGGTTGGACAAAGGCTATGGAAGCAAATCTAAAATAAAAGCTGGCTGAAATCAGTGCCAACGGCCTATATGGCGCATAACAAGTTGACACATATACTTAATTGTGTTGGAAGAGAATCTCTTCTGTGGCTGATATTGACATAAGTCTGTAGACTTATCTGAGGCTGTTTACTCCTAATTTAACAAGTAACCTTCTCACTCCTCTCCAGTTTATATTACTTATGCATGTATCTCATATTTCAAAGCAAAACAAAATTCAAGGACAGAAAAGATTTTAAAATGTGTTTAATAACAGGTGTGACAACAGAAAAAAGCAACTAAAACAAGATACTAATAACTACACTTAAATGCTGACCTGGAAATTATTTTAATAGCTGGAAAGTTGCTAAGATAATAAGCATAAAACATTTAGTGGTTTGTTGTACTTTTGTTACAAAATATGAATATACAGATTTTTTTATTTATAAAGTAGTTTAGGTTATCTTGTAGATAAATAGGCAGCAGTAACCACCTATACTTTGTGATTTATTACAGCTTTAACTAGACTGCTAGATTTTTCAAAAAAAATGTAAGCAGCAATTTTACTCAGTAAAAATATACTACAAGGATTTTACACAAAGTAATCAAACTTTAAAATCACACTGAAAGATTCCAGCAATTTTTTGAGACAAATATGGGAAAAAACAATCTATTTCCATGTGAAAACAAATTCACTGGAAACAGCTTCAAAGAAAAAAAAACATTTTATGACAGTCATAATAAAAATGTTGCAGTACATCTATCCTATTATTTTTACATATAAAAAAACTGTTCAACTCTGACTATAAACTCTATAATATTTTTTAAATCAAAAAAGCAACACAACTAGTTTTTGAAATTTCTAACATTGTAAAATTAAAAACATTATTATGCATGATATGAGTTACAAAAAATATTTTTTCTTTATATTAGCCCTTGAAAGAGTAGTGTTAAAAAGGGCGACAACAATAAGAAATGTTATTGAATTATTAGCTAAAAAGATTTTTACGAAAAAATCTACCTGCAAGATTTTAAATTGTAAAATGAATTTCTTGAAGGAATGTTTTCCCTCCTCATAACCAACTAATGAAGTACTAAAAAAATTTAACTATTGATCAGTAATAAAATATTAACAATTTTAAAATACACCTCTTTCCCAATGTTAATGTGTTGAAATACAAATTAGTCACAGTTACCTTTCTACACATAACTAGAATAGATTGCATAATCCCAAACACCTTATCATATACTACTAGTACCTTCACCAGAAAAATATCTTCAGTCGCAGACACATATTTCCTTTTAGTATGGAAATGAAAGAACAAGGCCAAAATTTCATTTAGTACTTAACAACAATGCTGTTATGTTAACATACATATGCTCCACAAAATATTAAAACAATAATATTTAAATTACAAATAAAACCTTGGTAAACTGCTTTAAAAAAAAGCAAATATACCAAGAAAATAGTTACACAGAAAACACTTCAATTCCACTCAAACACTGACATAGTTCAAGTTTTTCAAACACAAAATATTAAGATACCATATTACAGGATCTTTTCACTTGACTGAACCAAACTTTGAACTTGATTCATCTGCTCAATTCCACAAGCATTTGTTTGACCGTAATCAGGAAAAAAACTTATAAGAATTGATGTAAGTCTAGAACCAAAACATTTACTTGGGCTGCTGGATTTTCATGCTGTGCTGAGTAGGGCGTGGCCTGACGTCATGCTGTGGGAGGGGCTTCTCGTGAAAACTTTTGACCGCTTGCGGAGTAAAATCTTTGTCTCCCTGTGGATATTACATTAGTTTTTATCTTCTGCTGATGTTCATAACATTAATTTATGTAGCTATTCTTAATAATAATAAAACAATATAACATTTAATTCAGCTTTTGAAATTATCATGTAAATCAATTAGTATTATTATTAAACTGGCACAGTCTGTATCGCTAGCTTTTGGCATAAACCCAGAGCCTATATATTTTGAAGCTAGATAAATAAGAATTCTTGAAAAATTATTTCTAATAATGGGATATAAGTTTCTTAGCCCATATTGATAATCAGGGTTAATACTGTGCATGATAATACATCCAATTTTAGAACTGAAAGTTCCAGAAAATAACAAAAATTTCTGGAAGAGCTATCAAATAATCTCAATCTGTGTTTTGTATCTTTTCTATTAAAAAGAGCTAATTAAAAAATAGTTGAGTTTGTTCTATAGTTGCTTACATAAAGGTTGTCCATTTTTTAACCAATTATTTTTTCAACCCCAACATCAACACTGTGAATATTTCATATTTCTGCCTAACCATCTATTGCCTCTTTCAATTGCAATTTTTAAAATCAAACACAAACTTCTATTTCAAAGGTAAAGATTAGGCAGATTGTTATATTTTATTCAATTTAACAATAAAAATTCAATGAAAAAATTTATATTTAAATGGTAAAGCATGCTTTCAATAATATTACTCCTTTCCAGTGTGAGTGTGACATCATTTATGGACAAATCAACAAACAAAAAGGAAGATTTATTACCTTAGTCACAACACCAGAGATTAAAAGGGACTGATGGTGTTTGTCTGTCTTTGGTGGGCTGGAATAACAAAAGTTGGACATTACCTTTTGACATATTAAAATTAAAACTAGAATAATATGAAAAAAAATTTAGAAAAAAAAAAACCAAATCATTCTTTCAAATTGGATTTTTTTTGCTTTGTCAGCCTCAATTCTTCTTTACCTCAGTTTTTTCCATTATTTCATTCTTAATAATTTATGTACTTTTTGAAGGGTTTAAGCCTAGATATTTAAAAACTTAAAAAAAAATGATGCTTTAAGCTAGTAATAACACCATTAAAGGATATACATTTGTATTTAAAAAAAGACAACAAAACAGTTTAACTTTAACCAAATTTACCAGTTAAATAAAAAACAACAAACACAGAAAAATAAAACAAATTAAATCATTATTTACACTAAATCAAACTACCTGGAGCCAAATTCAGCTTCCTCCTCTGGAGTCATGGTGGGAGGTTCATTTTTGTCCCCTTCCTTCTTGTGTTGAACAACACGCATACCTCCAACTTTAACTGAAGGAAAAATATTATATAAGATTTGCTTACTGTTTCAAAACTCATACTTTGTCATCATTTTCATATATTTTAATATGATCAAAAGTGGAAAATAAAAAAAAAAGAAGTAAAAACTATTTCTCTGTATAAGATAAAACCTATCAACTATTATGCCCTTCTGTTGGATTGCAATTTTATTATGAGCTCTAGATCTAGATCTATATCCTTTAATTAAACTTAAAGCGCTATGAGATCAGATGCTAGAGCGTACAACTGCTATGAGATGCAGTGATCAGATGCTAGAGTGTACAACTGCTAACCCTTAAGTCTTAAGTTCTGAACCTCGGGCTTAAGTCCATAGGACGTCCCTGAGTCCACCCAACTGATAGGTACCTGAATCACGCTAGAGTGTAAAGGCAGTTGGTAGTTGGACATAGTGCTGACTATGTAATTAAACTATTCTTTAATGATATAGGCCTAATTTTTATAATATTAAGACCCTTTGAATTCCTAATAAAAATGAAAATTAAATAGACAAAAACTGCATGTAGATCTAGAATTTAGATCTTGATCTGGATCTAAATCTAGATCTAGATTCTAGTCAATTTGTGTGGTCAGAAAGTGACCCCCAAAAAACGTTGAGACAAAGTCACAAAACATTGCTGCAAACTGCAAAACAATGATGAAGTAAAGAATAGTGTCGACGTGAGTTATAAGAAGAGGTGAATCTTTAAATCTCTATTTAAAAAACAAGTTAAGTTCTGAACAGTATGATTGGGGCAGAATTCAGCACTGCCGTAACTTGAATCATGCCTTGCCTTAGCAAGAAAAACCAAACAGGGCAAAAAAAAAACAGAAAAAAAAAACAAAAAACGAACATGGCGACACAGCAGGTAGATTTCTAAGTTTCACAAAATGTTTACTAAGCAAGTAAACCTTTGTGTTAAATACAACATTGATAAAATGCCAATAAACTTACCAGCTGGAGGGTGTCCTGCCTTTAAGTCAACAACTGCTGCATCATCTGCCATTGTAAAAATCTACTAAAATTTGCTGTAAAATCTTTGCTGTTTGCTTGTCTGAGTTTTGCACGAAGTGCTGCAATATGCCAACACAATACGTGTACTACGTCACTACTTTGGTTGTTGTTTATTTGGGTTGAAAGTTCATGACCAACGTTAGTGCTAAAAATAGATGTCTGTAACAGTGCGATCTGCCTTGTTTACATTTTGTGCTTCGCGATGCACAAAGAAAGAAGGGCCATTTTGCTTAAACTAGATCTAGAACTAGGTTCTATGCCTTAGGCCCATTAAACCACTGTTTATAGGGAGGCCATGACAGTGGTCTATGGTACTACTTTTAACACTGATAAAATAATGCATGTAGTATTTGTTTGTCACTTGAGTGTAAAATAAGAGACCGATTGAAACTAACAGGCAGACAATGATAAAGAGTTTATTAATGACAAGCTAGACTACACTCAGTCGTTTATTTATTAATACAATTATTATGAGTTGCATAATATAGTATCGTCTAGATCTAGACGTGGAAAAAAAGCGTAAAGTTAACAATCTTCCATAGAATAGAACCTAGGCCCTATATCCATATAATATAACAAAATATGTAGGTCATAGCCAGTGGCGTCGCTATAATTTTCAAGCCCCTTATGCAAAAATTGTCAGTGGGCCCTTCATTAGGCTACAGGGGAATAAATGTGGGCAACGAAGAAATCGATTATTATGTATGAATATGTATTTTAAAATGTGTAGATTTTGTATTCTATATGTACTGATTGTGCACATATCCTGTATTATCACGTATTATTATGTAGTACCCCATAACGTAAATTATATTTTTATTTTAAATAACTATTTTTGTAAAAAAAAGTTTTTCAGCCTGTAACATATAAGTAATCAAACACATTAACGCCACAAGGGACACCGTGACGAAAAATCGTAGCCTTTGCTGGCAAAAAAAAAAAGTTTTATTCAGTTCAAATAATAGAATATTGAATAGTAGGGGGTGAGGTGTGACACAAAACCAAATATTGTTGGAGGAGGGTGGGGCTACACCCTCGGTAAACACACAGTGTGACACTCAACCTTGTGATGCCACTAACCAAACACTAATATTTAAAATGGTTTATTTATATTTTTTTCTTGCTTTCCAGTCTGCACAATGATTTTTAAGTTTCTTGAAATCCGTTTTAGCTGCTTTTGAATGTGTGATAATTAGGATAGCCAAATTACAGACACACGTCATATTTACCAAATCAAAATTTGATTAATTTGAATGTAAAAAATATCGACAAGCATTACAGACAGTGGCGTCACTATGTCGGGTGTCACACGGTGAAGTAACATTGGTGTCACCCTCTGCGCTAACAGTGTTCTACTTTTACTGGAAAAGAAACACTATTATTTTGACTGTAGTTTTTACGAATTCTCGATTTGGTGTCACCCGGAGCGGATAGACACTCCCGCCCACGTTGTGTGACGCCGCTGTACTACAGACTCTACTAACTATACGATGAAAAATCATCTACATCTTTGTTTAAATTGAGATTATCTTAATTGGGATTCATAATGTAGGCCTACAACCTTTTGTATTTCGGAGGGCTAAAAAATCTGCGAATGTTAATGTAAGCCTAGTGTTTTTTTTTATAATAATTTTTTTTGTTGTTAATTTTTACATTCAAAGTCTAATAATAAAATCGTGCTAAACTTGGTGTCAGCGATATTTGTCACGAAGACAACACACGTGTCTCTGATTTAGTTATGTAGCCGTAGACTAGTCTATATGAACCTGTCGCAGTCAAAGTGGGGTACACTTCCCTGGAAGTTATTTAAGTAATACACAATCACGTTGGCAAATACAGAGTTTCTTCCAGGCATCTCTTCAGGGGCGGGGGTTGCTACCATTTCGAAAGAATTTTACCACCCCCCCCCCTTCTGAACGATATCTTCTTCTTCTTCTTCGTTCTTAATTATTAGTGTTGAAGGGGATCGAGATTTACCACCCCCCCCCCCTTCTGAACGATATCTTCTTCTTCTTCTTCGTTCTTAATTATTAGTGTTGAAGGGGATCGAGATTTATCTGCCAGTGGGTTTGAACTCGAGACTTTGTTCGAATTTATCAACCATGAGCTTTTTGCCGACTCAAACACAATTAAGCGTTACGTGTCAACTGGTTATGCGCCATTGAGGCCATTGACTCCGATTTCAGCCTGCTTTTCTTTTTGGATTTGCTTCCATAGCCTTTGTCCAACCAAGAACAAACTACAAGGCAGCAGTTGTTTAATTTTGGAGTTGTCTCTCCTAGAAGAGCTGTCTCCAGCCTCATCTGCCCGAGGGTTCGAGACTTTTCGGTTTAGCAACCATGAGCTTTACCGACTCGACCACGCCGACCCCCTGAACGAAATCGAATTTATATAGTAAATATATACTTCTATAGGTGTCCGCCCCCCGCCACTCAAGAAAATTTAGTCCACCCCCCCCCCCCAAAATATCAAGTGCCCCCCCCCCCCCCCCCCACCACCGGAGAAAAAAATCTGGAAGAAACAGCTGGCTAATCACATTGTAATTGTCGATACCGACCAAAATTATTTAATCTAATAGAAATTGGTTTTACTGTGTAGAAAATGTTTTCTCTCTCCGATTCGCTAATTAGAATGAGCCGTACACATTTTTTTTTCAAATAAAATTAATCTCTGAAACATCCGTTAATCACATTTAAGACATACTTGCAAAACTGTGGGCTATATATAAACAGAAGAAAAAAAAACGATGATAAACTAGGCTAAGGTTTCATTTGTGTGCAAGGGTTAATTGTATATGATGTACAGTTTACATAGATAAGTAAAGCAACAAATGGCAAGTAAAGGACAAACAATATTCATTTTAAAATTTTTATTTAAATCATTCGTCATTAATGTTTTTACAAAAACCGAAAACCAATTTACTGTGTAAAAAAAATCTGACTTGCTTAATTAAATTAAGTTAAAAGTAAACTGCAGTATGTAAATAATACAATTTACTTATTGATAACACACCAAAAAATAAAATAAAATACAATGATTGCAAAACTTACATTTGCTTTGTTCATAAAAATGACCTCACGCAATACGACACATTTTTAAAAAAAAAACTCAAATAGATGCCTATTTTAAAAATAAGAAAATTACCGCTTATAAAAGTACTAGCCGTCCCGGCCAAGCCCTGCTCTGGGCTCTGTGGAATACCTGTCTGTGCAGGACCGTTACTTTTTATTTTATTAAGTAGCATATACCCTGCTATACCGGTCATTGCCCCTGTTTAAGAAATATATTACTTTTCCAATTAAATGTATATATGCAAATATGGACGCATAAACCTAAACCTTAATTTAACTGTAAATTTAACCCTAACCAAAACCAACCACAACTAAAACTAAAACACAGACGTAAACATACACAAACACAAATATAAAAGAAAACGCAAACCAAAACGCCAACATAAACACAAAAGAAAACATAAACGTAATGCAAACATGAACGCAAACTTAAACATTAACACTAACGCAAACATAAAAACAAAAAACAAACGCAATTTAAAGCACAAACACAAACAAAAACGCAAAGGTTGACCTAACACAAACATAAACGCAAACGTAAACATTAAAATTAACACAAAAAAACTGAAACGCAAACACAAAAGCAAGCATAATTTTTTTTTAAGTTATTTTTTTAATTTAATTTTTTAAAATATAAAAATAGAATTTTTCTAAAGGGTAGTACATTTATTGTAATTTTTTTTTCCACAATATGTCATTCACAATGATAAGTTGAACAATGAAAATTTAGTTTAAAATGTATCAATATTGAACTTTTTAATTATCAATTTTGATTTTATTTCAAAAGTAAACACTTAAAGAACTGTGGTGATAAAGTCAATTTATTTTTACTACATGCATGTCTTCCAAGGGTCCGTCCGCCACAGAGTCCATTTCAACTTTATATATTAGACAATTTGCCACATCACGAAATTAAAAATAAACAATGTTTGCTTTTATGATAAGGATTCTTCGGATAGGCGGTTGAGAAAATTTATGACAACACAACCTTCCTTCCGAGGTCATTATAATATATACACTTTACTTCATCTGCCCACTATGTTTTGGGCACGAACCGAAAAACACATAATGATTTCTAGGGTAAAAACGTTTTTTCTAGGGTTGCGTACATTTTTGAATTAAAAAATCTTACATTTTAGTAGAAATTCGCGGTGTGATTTACAGTTTAAACCCGTTCAACGTGACCAGACAACACATTAAAACAATGAATATTAACAATAAAATAATCGCAATATAAATTCTGTTGCACGTCTTAGACACCACAGCTCTGCGTATAAATTCCCAGACCTTCAACAAACAAGAGCGCTCCGTGTTTCTCTCATACAGGCTGGAATGTCTTTGGTTAAAGAGACTATTTTCTGGCTTGTAATTTTGTCGCTGGTTCTTGAAATCATGTACAGTGTAGTGACCCATAAACTTGTCACGGATTCTACACGTCGTCTCGATCAGCTTCTGTCTTTGCTCAGATTTCACCTTTTCATCATTGGTCCTGTTGTCAAACAGCAAAACTCTGTTTTCACACTCTTCTGTCAAAAGTTTAAATTCTCCTACCTGGCTACCGCACCATTCTTTGAACGCACCCTCCTCATTATCTAGGGAAAAATTATCCCCGTAACTCAGAACAATAATTCCTCTATCCCGAAAAATACTTTCTCCAAAATACTCTTTAACCTTTTCCACTGCATCTTTTTCCTGTTTAGTAAAGCGAGTGCCATACTTGAGAACAAATATCAAGACATCAAAACCACCAACTTCTTCCAATGCTTTTGTAACCGATTCTCTCATCTTTATATCTGGAATTGATGAATCAATTTCACAATCCCCAATGCCTGATCCGTCTATGATAGTAATGTCTTGAGTGATTATAACACGAAATTCAGGAAATTCATGATCGGCAACACGTCTTTCATCTTCGCCTACTGAGATGGACTTTTCTTCTATAACATTTGACCCGGAACGAGCAGAGTACACAACAGAGGTTACGCCATTCCCGGTTCGACCAACAACAAGCAAAGTTATTTTGTTTTCCATGCTTGATACTGGAATGAAGATGTAAGTTAGAAGTAAGATAAAGGAAACTTTTTTTTAGGGCAGGTGAAGTCGAGTTCATCTGTTTCCATGACCTTCGTAAATACAATATTAAATGTTTAATTGTGTCAGTTCTATGCCTATTTCATTTAGTTTTCATTAAAGTGGTATCAGATACATGTAAGAACTGTTTGGACTATTGGTAAGACCTAAATATTGGAAAATATAAGTAAAAGTATCCAATACATACTATTGCGAACCACACTTTTCTTTACAGTTATTTAAATAGTAGTGTATTATATATATACACAGAAAAATCATTTATTTTCCTGTTTTTAGTGCATTTTTACATAAAAAGATTGTTATTAAAATATTGTTATGTTGGTCAAAATTTTAATTAATTCATAAAATATTTATTAGGCAACCAATTAAGTCAAATTTAATGTCATGTTGCATTGTATTCATGTCTTGACCCACATAACAATTATGAATCGAATCTGTCAGTTAGAAGTGCCCGTAATTTTGCTCGGGCGTTTCAATCTAGATAGACAGACCGACGACAAATAGACAGAGAGTAAGTTACATAACAACTTGTAAAAAAAAGAATAATTTATTTAAATTTGTAATTCTTCACTCATCCAAATAATAAAAAAAAGAATCATAACAAATGTTTTAATAACAAGCTTTTATGTAATAATGCAATAAACCGTAGAAAATAAATTACACACTACTATTTAAATAACTATAAAGAAAAGCGTGGGTTACTTTAGTACCTATTGGATACCTTTACTAATATTAAGGAAGAGACCCACGCTTTTCTTTATAGTTATTTAAATAGTAGTGTATGATTTATTTTCTACTTTTTAGTGCATTATTACATAAAAGCTTATTATTAAACCTTTTTCTGATTTTTTTACGTACTTTAATTTTTTAACATTTAAATAGAGTTGCATGATAAAGCGTGTATAGTAGTGCCGAATAGTTGTATGAAACAGCCTACTACTACTAATTTGGACACAATTTCAATTAATTCATAAAAAATTAATAAGGCACCCACTTAAGTAAAATTTAATGTCAGATTGCATTGTCTTCATGTCTTGAATGTGATGGGGGAATAGCATTGGTGATATATGACGTATATGATAACTACTTCTGTTACTAACATTGCAACTATAAACATGTGACGAGGACGGGAACACTCTTATTTTCCGACGACACTAACGATGTCAACAAATTTATTATCAACTACTAACACTAAACGAACTAGAACTACACTACAAAATATACAACATGTCCTTTCTCTACAATGGCTAACCCCCAACTGTCTTCACTCCTGCATCCTCCGTCATCGCTAATATTGTCGCGTCACACTCAAGCTACAAACATTTTATTAAAACGCGCACATACTCTCGAACCAAATCGTCTACCGTCAAGTTTACACCGTCCTTAGTATTGTAATCCCTATCATTCTAGTCTTATTTCTATCTTCGATATAACATTGACCAACGTGCCAACTTTGAACCGTATCTGTCAATTAGAAGTGCCCGAATTTTCGCTCGGGCGTTTCGATCTAGACAATACAGACTGACGACAAACAGAGACAGTAAGTTAAATAAAAGCTTGTAAAAACCCAACAATAATTAATTTAATAAGTGACTTACGTATCTATAACGTGACTGAAAAGTTTCACAACGGATAAGAAAGAAAAAGTAAATGATAATATATTGAACACGGGATGTAGGCCTACATTTAATATCGCAGTGGCCAACACACTGATAATTACAGCCTTAACGATTTTCTTGGAAATAGTGGCCGTATCACCGCGTTTACACTTGCGACATGTGTACTATTATTTCTATACAGGTGTAGAGAGTAGAAAGATAAATTTTGCCATAGGTTAATTATAGGGAGGGGCGTGTCTACCCACTTATTGTAAAGTTGTTTTCTTTCTAGACGTGTATAGTACACATCACGCAAGTGTAAACGCGGTGTAACACCTATTAAACTTTTTGCAGAGTGCGCACACCACGCCCCCTTTTGATATCAAAATGACGTAGTTACATTATACAAGGTGCGCACACCACGCCTACTCTTGATATCAAAATGATCTACTTACATTATACAAGGTGCGCACAACACGCCCCCTTTTGACAAGATGATCTACTTACATTATACAAGGTGTGCACACCACGCCCCATTTTGACAATAAGACGATCTACTTACATTACACGAGGTGTGCACACCACGACCCCTTTTGACATCAGTATGATCTACTTACAATACGTTACATACATCGTTGAGCTATCAGTTGTCAGTAAAACCTACACCTCCATTGCTTGTTCACTTTACAATGCTAATTTTCTCAAGTTCACTTATAATTTATTAGTATTAGATTCATTCTTCATCAATCATGCGTTAAGGTAAGGTTGGTAGTTTTGGTAGCGTTAACACCATAACGACCAAGGTTGTGTTTTTTTACTATTACTTGGCAAAACTAGCGCAGGAACATTTTTTTTTGGTTCAGTACTTTTAATGCTATTGTACTCTTTTTAATTATTGTTTTACTTATTAAACAAATTGAGTCGTTGAGACTTTTAAAAATATAATTGTTATATACGACGATTTTATTACTTCGCTGATACTGTATCACATCTTTTTATTTGTGGTGGTCTTCAATCTCGAGGACAGGGAGTTGGTGGGTTTAGATTACATGAAGATGAATACATTATATATATTTTTTAAGATTACAATTACCAACAATTATGCACTTTTTCGTTAAAATGTGTGGATTTTAGTTTGTTGATCTATATGACGTCCAGTATTTGTGACTACGATAGTGGGGGAAGAGGAAAAGAAGGGTAAATATTGGTTGAAATAGCATTTTGTCATTTCTTTCATCTTAAATACACTTCCTTATCAACGAGTTATTTTTAATAATTACTAGAGGAAAGCAGAAATCATAAAATTATAAAGACACAACACAATGTTTTAGGTAATTGTCTTTTATTTAAATTTAAAGTTATATAAAATGTAAAATAAATAAAAAAAAATTTAAAATGGTCATTTATAAAAGCTGGTAATTATAATTTATAAACCTTTTTTATACATATAATTTATTTTTACATTTTAGGGTTAACAAAAATCAAATCATAATATAATTGAAAGCCCCGAATATGTGTATATGTGTAAAAGCAAGTTACTATTAGTAAGATAATTAAAATAGCAAAATTTATTTAATTTAAAAAATATAGGGCCTACATTTATGTGAAAGATCAAACTATATTGCATTGTCATCAGGTTCTACCTGGGTGTCAAGTCTGAAAAAAATGTGTTCAGCAGAGGGGAGTTAACAAGTTTGACCCATTGCATGACAACACGTCCATAACAACTAACTTACTACCATCCATCAGAAGACACTAGATCTACCTATTGTTACTGCACTGATCATAAGACACCTTTTGTATATAGTACATATATTTGAAAATTCCAATATCTAAATATTTAAAGAAAGAATTTTTTTTTACATTTATCATTACTGATTTCAATTTAATGTATAAAATATTTATCCTGTATGTGACAATTATAATTTAAATTTAAAATATTACTCTTCCCTGTGACACTAAATGAAAATAAAAAATCACATTACAATAATTTTACGATATATTGATAATTTCAAAAATTCACATTTATGGCACATTTTGTTTTTGGTAATTGTAAAAAAAATTGCCTTTTAAAGTGTTTTTTAGGACAGATGATTTTGTTTATTTTCTGGCATCAAACTTAACCCACAGGCCGTCTGCAGCTCTAACTTGCATTTTACTCAGCTTTATTGGGTACACAGTCTTACTACAGGACACTGGGGTAAACTTTTGCAAGATTGAAGCTAAGGCAATTTTCATTTCCAGGAGAGCTAGCCTCATGCCAATACAGTTTCTTGGCCCTTGGCCAAAAGGAATATGCGCATAGGGATGGCGAGACTCTTTATTTTCTTCTGTAAATCTTTCAGGGTCAAATTTCTCTGGTTCAGGCCAGATTTCCGGGTCGGTGTGGAAAGCATAGACAGGGACAGCAAAGTCCATACCTTTAGGAAATCTTATGCCTTGGACCACAGTCTCCTGTACGCAGACACGGTTTATTAAAAACGCCGGCGGGGCCATTCGAAGGGATTCATTGATGCACATGTCAAGGTAAGCCATTGACTGGACGTTTTCGTAATTTGGTGGGGTTTGACCACATTTTTCATCTATTTCTTCCTGCACGCGTTTGCAGCAGTCTGGGTGCATGGTGATGAAGAACAAGGTGAAAGAAAGCGCAGTTGCCACAGTGTCGAACCCAGCAATGATGAGCGCTAAAGCTTGAGCCTGGTAGCAAAATACAGATTTTAAATGTGGTTAGTTATTTACACAATAGATCATACATCAGTGCTCTTAAATAAAGTGTCATGTAGTTAACTTACATGTATTTCAACTCTGCTAAGTTCTTTGTCCTGCTGGACATCAGTTTTTTCAGCATTCATGATGAGATCAAGGAAGTCATTCACTTTTCCATTGAGCCCTTCTCTTTTCCTTTGTTCTATAGCGTTATCAACAACTTGTGTAAAAAAATTAATGGATTTCTTGGGGAAAAATGGTAAGCTCATCTTTGAAAACAGTATTCCTAAATAAGGATACATAAAAGCAAAGCAGAAAAGAACAGGATTGGGGTTTAGTATCTTATGAGCTTCCGTAGCAAATTTAGAGTTTGGGTGTTGTAGGGTATTGATTTCTAGACCAAAACCTGTACTGGCTATCACATCTAAGGTAAATGATGAAATGAACTCTCGCAGCTCAAGCTCCTTGCCTGACTCCTGTAATGTATGAATGTGTTCCAGCAGTATCTTGGCATTGCGTTCTATGTGATGGGACATAACCTTTATACGGCTTGAGCTGAAGGTTGGACTAACTACCTTTCTCACTTGTTTCCAGTGCTCTCCATTGAGAAAAAGTATACTCTCTTTCAAAGGAGAGTCTACAGAAAAGAAATCTCTCCGATCAACAAAGTTGTTGAAATTTTTAACAAGAATCTCTTTTACAATATCCAGATCCCTGGCAATTATTACTTTAGTTCTCCAGCCATACCAGCCATATACCTAAACAAAAATTTTAAGTCATACTTTTTAAAATAGAATGGCCATTTATACAAATTATGCATTAAATTTAATTGATTTAATTTGAAAGGGCAAAAACAATTGAGATTAAACATTTTTTGAGAGGGTGTATATATATATATATATATATATATATATATATATATATATATATATATATATATATATATATATATATATATATATATATATATATATATATATATATATATATATATGCCGTCATGAAGTGACTCCTCCTACCAGGTCACTACAAGTCTAGTGATGGCACTATACACCACTTATGTTGTGATTGTTCACCAGGAAAAGGAAAGTATGTATCAAACTGATTTCTGTATAATGTTTTTACTGTGATGCTTATTACATTTATATTACTCACTTGTTACCCAACATTTCTAACTCCGTTTTTCACTTTCTTTTAGATTTATACAGTACACTTTTATGTTTTATTCTGACCATTATAATTTACCAAGTACTGAATATAAAATTATTAACACAAAAACCTTTGAATGTTTTGTATGCTTCTTTACATCTATTGGATCTGCTCTGTTAGTTATTAGAGGTTTGTAAAAAATGCTTACTTGTAGCAGAGAATCATTTAATTTATTGATTGCAAAAGATTTAATTTACTTTAGACATCATTTTGTATATTTGGGTACTAAAATTCGGTAAAAGTATTTACCTTTTCATTATGAAACTGTTTATGAAAAATCCGCTGCACTTCAAAAATACCATGCTTTATTTCCAACATGAAATTACCAAGCAGCCAAGATGGAGGAGATGTAGCTATGCCCATTTTTTTAAAGCTGCTGTGGTCAGGAGCTGTTATTTTGACCAAAAATAACAGAACCAGGACAATCAGGATGACAACAAGCAGTATAGTGAGTGCATCCATACTTGAAAATACTGTACTGGTGTAACTGTCAAATTATTATTTACAAAAACAGAAATGAATTATTGTTTTTCTTGGAGATAAAATATTACATTTTGTTTATAATTTTTTAGGCTAACTCTATATGAATTTACAGCTGGAAGCAAAGGTGTTGTTGACTATGCGCAACCACACTTTTCAGGTTACAAAAGTCAAGCATACAGACAAGAAGCTGGCACCACAAGTATTTGATTGCATCATGTACAGAAAACATAATAAAATATCTTTATGTCTAAGATTCAGTAAGATTTTTTTTCAAATTTGTCTGCGGGAATACAATTTTATATTGCGCTGAATGAATCTCTTTAACTGTATACACAATATTGATAATATCACATCTTTAAAACACCATGTTTGCTGGAAGACCAAGGTATAGAAGATTTTATTAGTCAATTAAATTTCTTTTTAAATGCATAAGTCTTTCCAATGGATCATTTGGTGATTTAGTTTGACAAAAATATAGATCTAAATAAAAGGGAGTTGAATATGCTGAGGTTCTACTAGCTCTATAGACTATTTTTAGGTATTATGCTTCTCTTTTTAATACAATACCAGCATCTTTTGTTTTTTGCTCAGTAATAATTTCACAGGCCTAGTGGTTTTAATACAAAAGTGATAAACTTATAGACTCATTTAAACAATTTAATATATCACAATATATACATATCATTAGTCATTCGAAGATTAAGAATATTTGTGATATTTTCATCAATTTAAAATATTAGATTGAGATCTAGTCAGTGGCGTGAGGCATAGCGACTCTTCCCAGGGACAAACTTTCAATTTTTGATTTGCACCCCCCCCCCCCACCTCAAATTTTTCTCTATATATTTTTACTATTTTTTGCCTTGGTGTCACCCCCCTAAATGGTGTCACCCGGTGCGGTCCCCACCCCCCGCCCTCGCTACACCTCTGGATCTAGTTACTAGTCAGCCTAAACTATTACAAGATCTAATCAAACATTTTGATTGTTAATTAACAAAGCCCAATTATTAGGTAAAGCAGGGCAGTCTGCACTGTGTGGTATGTGGCTATAGTCGACACCCCAGCCCTATAAAAAACACCAAAAAAAAACTACTAATCTACTTCTGAGGTAACAACCACTGCTGGTACTTGATCACAGATAAGTAGATGATTCATTTTATGTAATTTATTACCCACTTGACCAAGCAGGAAGGAGATAAAACAGAAGTTAATCTCACTGCTCTTTCCTCAAAATTTCTCACCTCCATAATACCATTTTGAGAACTTTTTTTCCCACATAGACATAACTTAGTAAACTTCACTTTGTAACCACCACATGACTTTTTCAATGCCATTCTTTATTTAAGACTTCAAGTTTAAAAGTTTACAAAACGATTTTAGTTCAAGCCACAGGTGGGAGGTGCGGACCGCACCGGATAACACCATTTAGGGTTGGTGACACCAAGACAAAAAAATTGAAAGATATATAGAATAAATATGCTTTTACCAGTTCTATGTATCGTTAGTTATAGTTAAAAAGTATTTTAAGTACATAATGACAATCTCAACATGGGGGGGGGGGGGGGGCGACAACATGATGTAAGCAAGTTAAATATAGAGAAAACAATTAATAACCAACTATAGATAAACATTAGTATTAAATGTGAACACCATGAGGGTGCAGCACCGGGTGACACCCGACCTAGCGATGCCACTGGTTCAAACATTGGTTATTGTACATTTTAACACAATTTTTATAACTATGGTTAGAATAGTTTTATTTTGGTCAATTTTTTTTTTTTTTGCACAGTGATTGTTGATGCCAAAACAAAATGGTGACATTTGTCCAGTTTAACCATGAAATATAGTTTTAACATTCTCAGAGCATGCCTTTATTGATCAATATCATAATGGTTTTATTTGTTAGATAATAACTAAATCTACATGCAAAGTAATGACATTTACATTTAATGCCTTTATGCATGTTAGTCATTAAATTCTTTTTAGAATATATATATTGATAAAACCCAGCAGAGATAGCATGAAATGTCATTTTTGATCATTATGGGACAGCAGGGAGGATATCAAAGTGGAATTAGTACCATGACCTCCCCTTAAAATTCCTCACCTCCTTAAAACCATTATGTGATCACCATAAAATTTCTAATCCTTTTGCAGGTAACATGGACTGGTGCTCTTAGATCTCAGCCAACCAATTTTAATTTATTATAATTTCAATAGGGCCTACATTACATTGTAGAGGCCTAGAGTACTTTACTTATACTATAATCTAGATCTGTACAAGTAGAATTGGCAGGACATTACAAACAGTAGGTTTTTTGTTAATATTTGCTGTTTAGTAATTAGTAAATAGTACTAATAATCTAATTATCACAGAATAATATTAATGCTTGATCTTACTAGGCCCTAGATCTATAGGCCCTAAATACTAAGTTAGTAACTTAGTATTTACTACTAGATCTACTAGATCTAGGAAATAACATTAATTATTATTAATGGTCCTCAATAATATTTTCTCCCATTACTAGTCACGGCCAATTTTACGTAGATTTCTAGATCTACCTAAAATGATAGATTCTCCTTATTTATTAATTTAATATTTATTGGTAATCTATCGTTTTAGATAAGGAAAATCGACTGAGACTAGTAATGTGTAAAAAAAGGTGACTCGTTAAATTTTTGTAATTATTTCACATATTTAGGTAGATTTATGTTTTGAAAGTTACAAAAATGTGTTAAAGTTTCATTAATGTACCTGTTTTTAAACAATTGTATTAAAAACTTTTCTGTTAAAAATAAATACTAGCGATGTTTTCATCAGATGTAACCAAGGGACAGGGAAGCTTATTTACTTTTCAGGGGAAACCACTCTAACTTACAGATGCCCGCTGTTTATATAGCAAATTTTGCTCGTAAACACTGCTGTTTAAAGTTAATTTCTAGCCTAAATATATTTAGCCATTGATTTTGGTTTTTTATTCAGTTATCTATAATATTTGAAACAAATTTAATATAGGCCTAATCTATCAATACTTCTATTTTAAAGCCTTAACAATGACAATGAGGCAACGTTTTAGCACATTACTAGCCTCGGCCGATTTTACGCACCTGCCTAAAATTATAGATTACCAATTTATTACTAGATCTAGATCTAGAATCTAGTACATATTTAATTATTTTTGATGATTATCGGACAATAGTGTAAAATTCTCCCCTTATTTTATTTTTTTTTTATTTAGTATTTAGGCCTATTTATTTACTATAGGCCTAATATTATTAATAATATTATTACTAACATTTCAAAGGACAGAGAATCAGTCTGAATCAGAGATCCAGAATTATCTAAATAAACGTGAGTCGACTAGATCTAAGATCTAGAGTAGACTCTATCTCTAGTCTAGATCTAAATTCTAGATCTCTGCCTAAGTCTTAGGCCAGGCTTATGACTTAGTCTCTTAGCTTAGGACTCTTAGTCAAACTTAGATCTAGATCTAGATCTAGATCTACTTCTTAATCAAAGTTAATCTTAGGCAGGGAAGCTAAGTCAGTGCAATTTTAGTTTACCTGTTAAAAAAACTGTTAAATCCTGATCTAGAATCTAGATAGTGCTCGATAGAGGCTTTACTTTAATATTGTCTGGTGCCGAAAGAGTACGAACTTAGGCCTAGTTCTAGATCTAGATGTAATCTATCTTTTAATCTTTAACTTTAACATCGATTGACTTTTGAATTGTGCATCATTGTTTTGTTATGATGATTGTTTAAGGTGGCCAGATAAAAATGCTAAATGCATATCATGTTGGAGACAGAATTTTGATAGCCCGGAGACCCGTGTTCTCTTTTCCTTTATGTAAAGTAACCTAAAAAAAATGCAATATAAACTTAATTTAAGTTGGGCAAAAATAAGCAATCAAAGATAAACGGTTTCACTTTACAGCCTGTTTGGTTGAATTAAACGTAATGCTTTTCATAACGGGAGGACGGGGGCGGACTGGAGAGCATATTGTTAACTACATTAAAGTTCCTAGGCCTTACCCCTTGTTAGCTGGGGAAAGCAACCCACCTAAGAGCAGTGTTTCTTCCAGATTTTTTTCTCCGGGGAGGGGGGGGGGGGCACTTGAAATTTTCGGGGGGGGGGGGGGGGTAAACTTTCTTCGGGGGGGGGGGGGGGCGGACACTGTTAAAAGTAGGCCTATATATTTTCTATATAAATTATATAAATTTCATTTCGTTCGGGGGAGGGGGGGGGGGCTTCGCCTCCCCGAAGAGATGCCTGGAAGAAACTCTGCCTAGGAGGGAAAACTCCGAAAAATCAATCACTGCCTTGTAGATTGTTCATACTAGATCTAGATCGACCATGTTTCTGTATTAAAAGCCCGGGGGGAGGGGTGGGGGGGGGGGGGGAGGGGGGTGGGGGGGGAAGGACTGAGGGGGCGGCAGCCAGAGACCCCCAACACATTTTCTCATACAGATCACAGTCAACTTCACCTTACTACTTGATTTTTCGTTTTTGCCTGAAAGTAATCGTTCTGATGTCGAATCTAAGCTTTTTAAATTTTTATTTTTAAAATATGAAATACGTGCACACTCTATATCATTACCTTATACTCAATCATTATTTACTTTTAAACGAAGCTCCTTATACAAAAATAATCCGGACCAGCGTCTGCTTAAGACAAACGAATTCTGACAACTGACTTAACAATTGACCACGTTTAATTTTTATTTTAAATATAAAGGGGATATGCTCAGTTTATTTAATTTTAATAATTTAAGGTCTAAAGCCTTTTGAATACTTTTACCATGTTTGGCACATGAAAAAAGGTATTAAACAGAAAACAAGTTAATAAAAAGTGTAGTGACAATTTAAGCGCAATTTCCTTAATTAATTTTTTGTGACCGAAAGAAAGGATATTTTTGAAAACTTTCTTCGGCAATATTGTTCTAAATTATGGCTGAAATCGATTGGTAAATGTTTCAAGTCGCTAAGTGGTCTGGTTGCCGAGATATGGGCAAAAAACCTGCAATTTTTCGAGGTTTGTTTTTGGCTTTTCCGGGAAATCCAGGAAGGAATTCCGGGAATTTTTTGGCCCTCAATCATCCTCGGAACTTGCTTAACATATTTGCTTTTGGAACTAGTCCTCGATATTGCTTTGTTGAGGAGGAGAGACGACTTAAAGCTGCGGACACACATCCATCCATCCATCACCAGAAATGACGAGTTAATAATCGCAATTGTCCAGTATGGAAATTGCGCTGAAAAAAAGGATTGAAAACAACTGATTTGACAATTGACCCCGTTTAATTTTTTAAGAAAATAGGTATTAAACAGCAGAAAAAAGGGTTGTAATGGAAACCCGAAAAAACCTCTGCCATTTTGAATTTTTTGGTACTTTAAACAACGTTAAGGCTTTTTATTTATGCACTTAAAGCAATCAAAGTTAAACGGCTTATATTGCAGTATATATTAAAACTTTTAACGAGACAACTTTTTGAAAGAGCTACTGGTCAGAATTTTACAATGTCTGAAAAATCGTACCCTTTTTACTTTCTCGTATATACGCAGTATAGAGAAAGTCTTGTAATCGTGCAAAAAAAAAAATCGAGATTATTACAAATCTCGACGTTTTACATCTCACTGATACGGAAAAACATAATTTTGCAATCTTGTCCGTATGTCTGTGTGTCAGTCTGTGTGTCTGTCTCTGTGTGTGTAAACACGATAACTTGAGTACCGTTACAGCTAGGTTGATGAAATTTTATATATAAGTATTTTATCAAAATCGTAGTCGTAGATCCTTATCAACTTATGAGCGATTTCCGATAACCGGAAGTGGTACTTATTTTACTTTGAATTTTTCAAAAGCTTATAACTTGAGTACTATTTCAGATAGATAAATGAAATTTCACATGTAAGTAAAAGATCTAATTCTCTACCTTCTGTTAAATTTTGAGTAATTTCCGTTGACCGGAAGTAGTAATTTACGCTATTTCCGATTTCTCAAAAAACTAATGTAAATTTTTAAAGTACTAATACTATTGCGCACTATTATGCACTTTTTTATTTAGCGTTCACTTGGTGTGCAATTCTTTTGTCTACGAGATTTTATTCTATTTTTAAAACTTTAAGTATTTAAAATGGATTAAAAATCATGTCTATAGCCCGAGTTCCCATCCACTGTTCTCCCGGTTTATTAGTATTCAACATTTTCAGAAAGCTTCACCAAATAATTAATTTTCTGCTTTTTAATGGGGGTGGCGGGGGGGGGGGGGGGGGGTGGCGGGGGTGGTATACTTTCTTCTGGGGGAGGGGGGGCTGTTCCCCCTCCCCCCCCCCCAAAGAGATGCCTGGAAGAAACACTGCACACACACAGATACGCACACATACACATAAATACATACATATATATATATATATATATATATATATATATATATATATATATATATATATATATATATATATATATATATATATATATATATATATATATATATATATATATATTGTAACTTAAAGACCTGCCTTATGCATAAATAGTTTAGCACATTTTAATACAGTTTCCCTTTAATGTCGAGGAGAACGAATGGGCGGGTTCAGATAACATGACTTTTCTTAGAATAAAATAAAAGTAATCATTTAGATTATGTGTATTTGAGGGGTGGATGGTGGCAGATATGTGACGTCTAGTCGTATAGTATTTGTTACTGCAGAGGACTATATTAATTATTTGTGGATAGAATATACGAGAGACGAAGAATGATGTGGGGGGGGGGGGGGGGGAGGAGGGAGTAGTAAACTTTTACTAGACTAGAGTGTCGTCATTTGAAGACGATAACTTAAATAATTATTTCAGTGTAAATTTCTCCTGTTCTACGTTTTTCCTCACTTGGGGAAAACATAGTTATGTTTTGTGGCTACAGGACATTACCCCCCTGGATATTTCCCCCCGGACATTTCCCCCCGTATTTACCCCCCGGAGCAATCCCTCCCCCCCCCGGGGAATTACCCCCCCCCACTCTCAAGTTAAAATCCTAACTCTAACTAGAAATTTATACCTATATACTACTTTAATCCAAACCTTAAGAAAAAGACCAAAACCTAAGCATCCACCTTAGCCTAAAACTTCAAACAAAACCAAAACCAAAGCTAGACACAACCCTAACCCTAAAACTAGCTATAACCCTAACCTTAACCCTAACCCTAACCCTAACCCTAACCCTAACCCTAACCCTAGCCCTAGCCCTAGCCCTAGCCCTAGCCCTAACCTTAACTCTAACCCTAACCCTAACCCTAGCCTTAACCCTAACCCTAACCCTAGCCCTAACCCTAACCTTAACCCTAACCCTAACCCTAGCCTTAACCCTAACCCTGTCCGAGGGGGGGGGGGGAGGGTAATGTCCTACTGGGCGGGGGGTAATTGACAGGGGGTAATTGACAGGGGGGGGGTAATTACTCTGGGGGTAATGTCGGGGGGGGGGGGGGAATATCCGGGGGGTAATTGACAGGGGGGAAATGCCCTGTTCCCATGTATGGTATGTCTTATTAGTGTTATTATTTATTTGTTTCATCATCAGGAATGATGTTTTATGAATTATATATTGTGTTTTAAGGGCCCTTCAAGTGACGTGGCCAGGGCCATTTCAGAGTGACGAGTCTTTAGGCCAAAGTAAAGTGATTAACGGATATAAATATATCATTTCAAAATTCCGATTTTATGTATAATTTAATGTCATTTCAGAAAATCAAATAAATGCTCAATTGAAATTCTGCTATAATTTACAAATGAATAGTTTTATCTATTTTGGTTTCTTCATGGTGACTGTCATATAATGTGTTTTAACCATGTAATATTTTATATTTGGAAGGTATTAATAGGCACTAATACAACAAATATAAAACCTTTATAATAACACGCGTTTAAATTCACTGAAAATAAGAAAATAAAACGAATTAGCTTTATTTAAAAAACAAATGCCATAAAGGGAATTTTATTATACGGAAAACGTTTCAAGAGTGGAAACAATGGCTGGTCACATGTTAACTGGCACTGCATTTATTCTAAAATAATTTCATGCCTTCAGTTTTCAAAAAAGATATAAGATGCTTAACATTAGCATTTGTTGACAAGAACCATACAAAAATACAAAGCAAAAACAAACCAAATTATCCCGGTGTAAATAAAACGTATTCTAAAATTATTTAAAAAAACTGTCAATAAAAAATGTATTGACTTTGGTTTAATCAAGCATGTCTCACACTTCTGACACCAAATCAGCCAACTGTGACAAACTGTTCGCCCTCGTCGCCTCTCTGATAAATCAAGTGTTAGGATTTTAAAAACAATATTTCTCTTCTTTTATAGTTGATTATAGTAATTTTAAAATTAAGTTGTCTATCTAACTAGACTAAAAATTAATTATATATTCTTGCATTATCATTTAAGAAGAACATATCTGAGAAGTTTTAACGAAATCGCTGCATTAGAAGTGGGTGAAAATCGAGTTACAATATTTGTCACAAATGCACAAGCAAAGTTAGTAAAATAGATACAAGCTTGTAAAATTTAGATAACATTAAGTCAATTAAATGCACATATTGTGGCGAGGATGCATCGTTCTGAATAAAAGATGTTGACAGTTAAGCATGGAATGACAAAAACATGTTAAAATTATTATCAAAACCTAACAAAAGAACAATGTAAAGGCTAAAGATGTTTACCAATCCTACGCTAAAAAAGCTTCTGAAATACAACAGCGTTTAATCAATATTATTATAAACTGTCAACGATAAAAAAGTGAATTTCAAATCTAAACTCGCCTTATAAAATAAAATAAAATGTACTTTAAAAGAAAGTTCTCACAAAGTTTCGCCCTTTTACAAAGATGAACTCCCTTGTTTGATAAACAACGACACATCAGACCAATTGATTTCTGATATAAAATGTATATTGCACTATATTTGTTTATACTTATTTCGTGACGCCGTCCCATACAAAGATATTTATTGTTAATACTTGAGTATACACAAATATTTTCAAATGTTTGCAAAAAAGGTTTTAAGAAAAATTGGATTCAATTACATATACGTGTAAAAATATTTAAAAGTAATAACAAAATTTATTTTTAGTTTTTTTTAGTTGTCACACGTATAAATATAGTCTTATCAAAATCGTGGTTAAATAACGTGAAATAATTTTAAACATATGACAGCACCTATACCACAGATTACAAACATTGCAATACTCAAGAACCACAGAATGCGGCGGTTCCCGGCCTTGATTTCAACCAGCATAGCCTGCAATGGATCCCTTTGGCCCTCAAATCTTGTCTGTGACTCTTCCTGAACATCAGTGTTGACGTGCGACGTCTCAGCCATACCTGCCACTTCATGAAAACCGCCGTCTGCCCCTGAACCTTCCATAATAATTTAATAGATAAAATGTTAACATTTTTGTATTCATCATGAAAATCGCAAAAAACTTCAGACCAAATGTAAAATTCTGCAGAAAGCATATTCTAAATCACTTGGTTTAACATTAGATAGGTTTCTTGTAATGGAAATATTCACGCCATATTACGTTAGGGATATCTTTCAGACATTTTTTTTTCTCCGGGGCGTTAGACGTGCTCCGGGGATGGGGAGAGAGGGGGAGGGAGAGTTTGCACTCCACCTACCCCCTAACCCTAACCTGAAGAGTGAAAAGAACACTGTTTTCTATTTTAGTAATGTTTAATAGATATTTTAATGCCTTTCAAAACGCCATAAGGGTTTTTAAAATTCCTTATTCATAAAACTTCGTCATCATCGTAACAAATTTCGACTTCCCCCCACTCGCCCCGAAAATAAGATAACGTTTATGGACCACCCTTTATATATACTTTATATATATATATATATATATATATATATATATATATATATATATATATATATATATATATATATATATATACATACCATTGTTAATTTAAAATTTGACCAACGAATGCGACCTTTGGTGAAATAAAAACTTCGAAGAATAAAATACCAGAGAAAGTATAAATTTTTTCAAAATTTAAAATAAGGATACTTGTATATTTTTTAAAATATTGCTAAAAGGTTGTATTATAAAAGTCAGCAATAACTTACTTGGCTCACTTTTAGGCAGGAGTATCTGCTGAGAGCTGTTTGAAATTTGATCTCCATCGTTCTGAAATGTAAATAAAACATGAATGCAAAGATATATTGTGTACAAAATTTAGGACCACCGTGTAAAAATAACGTGTGTTCTGTTTCAGTGTTTCTATAGTGCCATAACAATTTTTCCAAGAAATTAAATATTCCAACTTACTACTAATAACAATCCCATTATTTAGTATACAGTTGAGTTTCAAGTTAAAAATGGCAATCGTAAATTATTTGATTAGTTGTAAAAGAAGTTCTAGGTAAAAATTTAAATGACCGAATTCTTAGTTATATCAATATATTGTACAATAAAAAATAATGCTTAGTAATTACGTATTAATTGTATTTTAGCGAACTGCATAACTGTAGCGCCTGGTAATTTAAGCAGGAATTTATCATAGGGATGGGGGTTAGGTTCTAATTATATTTCAAGGATTGAGGAAAAAAGTTCGTTTTTTGACATTTTAAAATAAAATTGTAAAGCAACTTGATCGCACAGTCGCTAACAGCTGTAAGTTAACTTCAGATATAAAAGTGGGTCTCTACCCCCACTAAACACCACACCTGTCTACGCCCCTGTTGCATCAAATATTCTTACCGTGGTTACATCAGCTTGTCCTGGCTTAGAAGGTGTGACGCTATATTCTTGAGTATTTCCCGGGGGTAAAGTTGGCTTGAAAAAATAAGCAGATACAATATAAATAAATAAAGAGTTATTTTAAAGAAAGCCGGTTACACCATATATGACACATGGTGACCGGAAAGATGCGCAACGGAAAACTGCGCAACGGAAAACTGAGCACAAAAAAGTGCACAAGGGCATTTTTTGTTTTCACAGATCGACCGTTTATAAACAATACCAAAGAATAAACACGTGTACACTGTAGCATAATAAAATATATTTCTTCGGAATATGACAAAATTAAAGTGAAGTCGTATAATTAGTTTGTATTTGTGCATTTTTCTGTTCGCGCAGTTTTCTGTTAAGATGTTTTCCGATTGCGTATTTTTCTGTGATCCTTTACCCAATAACTTACATATAGTCCAACAGCTTGTTCATATAATGGTACTGGTATGGTCGATTTTATGTCAGGTGTTAGATTTTCTACAGCTTGTTCATGTGATAATGCCGGTACAGACGAAAATCTGTCTGGTTTCGTTGTTCTTAGACTTTCTACAGCTTTCTTGAGTTGTTCCCTTTGTTTATTTACTTGAATCACATCTTTTGTACGATTATCAAACAACACAATTCTGCCATTACATGTTGACAAAAGTTCATTGAAAACGCCCCTCTGTACGTTGCACCATTCTTCAAATGATTGATTATTGCCCAAGTCAAAATTATCCCCATAAGTCAGCACGATTATTCCCCTCTCCTTAAAAATGTTCTCACCAAAATAATCTTTTACTTTATCTACAGAATCTTTTTCCTGCTTTGTGAAGCGAACTCCGTACTTGAAAACACATATTAGTGCTTCAAAATCTTCTCCAATTTCCTCCAAAATGCTTTTTATAGACTGCCAAACGTCCTCATCAGAATGTTTCATATCCTCTCCACCATCACCTATCCCTGAACCATCTACAGCTACAAACACATCGTCCTTATATATCTGATACAATTTTGATTTGCCTGGTACTTGATTGTTTTCGGATAGGAATGATGTTATTGTAGATGTCACTCCATTCCCCGACCTCCCGACAAAAAAAAGACGGCTATTTCCTTCACTCATGGCGAGTTCTCTGTGAAACAAAATATAGAAAATACATAATTATTTTTTTCTTCTTCATTCTAGTGTTAAAAGAGATTCCAACCAACCAGTGTTTCTTCCAGACTTTTTTCTCCGGGGGGGGGGGGGGGGGGGGGGGGGGGGAAGGCACTTGAAATTTTCGCGTGGGGAGGGGGGGGGGGTGGACGAAAATTTCCGGTATATATTTTCTATACCAATTCCATTTCGTTCGGGGGGAGGCGGTAGACTTTCTTCGGGGGGGGGGGGGGCTGAGCCTGGGAGAAACTCTGCATCCACCACAAGAATTACGTGTCAATCATTGACTCAGCCTACTATTCTTTCTAGATATGCTTCCATAAGAACAAACTTCAAGGAAGGAATTAGGGGTTGTTCTGGCTGCCAGGGGGTTCGAACTCGGGACTTTTTGCTCAGCAGCCATGAGCTTATCAGACCCGATAACGCCGACCTCCGAAAATACATCAAATGTTGTGAAAAAATTGCTTTACTTAAAAGGGTGCATCAAAGTGTTTGGAAAATATAGATCTAAGCTAATCAATGTAAGAATCTTTTGTTTAAAACATGTTTACTAATGGTCAGACTGCCAATAACAACTTTTAAAAGAAAATTAAATGGCCTTGATACAAGAAAAATCAACTACTATATGTGAAAACAGAAATGACCTATACAAAAGTTTCTGTTCAGATTCATTAAACAAACCAGCAGTATATCGTAAGCATATGTATAATAGAGGGGTTCTTAAAATTGGTTTCGTCATTCGAGAAGGTGTCAGCGTGGTCAAGTAGGTAAGTCTCAAGTACAAACCCTCGGCAGGCAAGACAGCTAAGGCTCAATAGGTAAGGATAGCAACTCTTCAACGAGAGTCTGAACTCTAAAATCAAGCAACTGCTACATTGGACAAAGGCTAAGGCGCAGAACAAGTTGACAATAGTTGACACGAAATAATGAAGAAGAAGAAAACAACTCATTTCTCTAGCCTTAAATCTAGCCAAAACACTAAACATCAATCACATCTGCCATTTCTTGTAGGAACCCTTTATTTACGTTGTCAACACATATTATGTCTAACTCGTGTGCATATATATCTTACTTTACAACCAGTAAATAAGGTTTTAACACAAAATACAACTTACTATGCAATAAACGTTCGTTAACGTAGAGAAATCAACACAAAACAACGTTCACATCTCTTCTATGTGTTGGTGTGTGATGCTTGCTTGACGTGCGGTGTGTAAAGTGGACCATAGATCGATTAAAGGGGAATTCCCCACTATTTCTTAAAAAAGCTATATTTAGTCTTCCGATAAACCCGTAGAGTTTGATGGCGATGTCACAATGTTTACACATGATATATTACCGGAACATCCACACTCACAATCAAACATATATATATATAAATATATATAAATAAATAAATAAATAAATAAATAAATAATATATATATATATATATATATATATATATATATATATATATATATATATATATATATATATATATGTGACAAGGATGGCAATTTGCGTGATTAAAGAATAGAACGACCATAGACTTTAAAACCCATTATATGTAGATACTATTTTTACGCATAGTTGTATCATGTCTCCGTTTATTTGTTGTGTAGGCCTACATTTCTGTCAATAAATCTCCAAAAGCTTCTCAAATAAATATCGATTTGAACTGGTTTAATTGACTTGTAATTCAAGTCTAACCCTAGGCCTAATGCTTCCTATAAATCGAAACCTTAACCATAACCATAAAAAATAAATATACCTTGGTCTCGATTTTTCTAAATACCTACATGACAAACTACACTTGTTTACAGAAATTGCACCCAAGCTAAACTTTTCAGTTATGATTAACTACCAGTATCATACTAACTAAACAATAATTTAAAATAGTAACAGCGTGTAACTGTAAAAAGAATACTCCTGTGTACGTGTATCTTAAATCTCAACTGATATATCACAGTTTTATCATATCAAAATGGTACTTACAATCCTTTCTACATCAAAACAGTAAGGGAAAACTAACACCAAAACAAAATTTACTTTCTGTTTCGGCTACATCGACGTGTGATACTTACCTTACTGTCTTTCAAGCGGACCAGAGATCGTAAAGAGAAAAAAACATCTTCAGATAATCATGTGATGAACTCAGTGGCGTAACAACAGTGTAACACCTACTTTTAGTATCTGTGGCTATCATTACCGCAAAATCTTGCGCAGCGGCGTAGCTAGAGGAGGGCGGGAGAGGCGGGCGCCGACCATAAGTGTTCGCAAAAAAAGGGTAAAATAAAAAAAAAAAGGCCGTTCATTGAATTCTACACAGTCATAGTTAAGAAAGTAAACAGCAACCAGGCTTTAGACACCGATTCAACTGTATTATACATCAATTGTAGGGCAAGAAAATAATTTTTTTACGGGATAGTGACTGGCAAAAAGCGCTACCAACCTTTCCAGCTAGGTGGGGGGTGCTTTTCACCACCTAGTCATATATATATATATATATATATATATATATATATATATATATATATATATATATATATATATATATGTATATATATATATATATATATATATATATATATATATATATATATATATATATATATATATATATATATATATATATATGAAATGTATAATGTTGACTATTATTATTATATATATGTATCATTTTTGAAATGTGTAGTGTTGACTATTATTATCATATATATGTTACATTGTTGAAATGTGTAGTGTTGAGTATTATATATATATATATATATATATATATATATATATATATATATATATATATATATATATATATATATATATATATATATATATATATATAAAGATATGTATCATTGTTGAAATATGTAGCTTTGTTGACTATTATTATTATATATATATATTTATCATTATTGAAATGTGTAGTGTTGACTACTATTATTATTACACCTGTACTCAAAACTCGTTTTTGTCCTGGTCATACACTATTTAATCTCTCAATAAACCACATATTGTCTCTATGTAAAGATTTCTTATCTTATCTAGTGTGATATTTATGACCTTGCCAGATCAAAGATGAATTTGATAATTCACGATAAGTTGATCCTGGTTTATTCCTGATTAAATATAAATGTGGGTGGGCTGTTAGACCTGACTAGAAATGAAATCTATCCGAATAGATTTCGCCCTAATCAGAGATCACTAGACATTCGCGATTGCGATACTACACCTTACTTTGTAAATTAAAAAAAAATAAATAATTTACTAGATACATGCCTAAAATTATACACTTATAATATACATGTTACATACACAAATTACGCTTCTTATTTTCGAAATCAACTTTGTTAAACTCACTTATATATATAAGTCTTAGATAAATTAAAATTTCTTATATTGAATTAATTATTACTAGTGCAAGTTGTCAAAAAAATTTGGGCAAAAGTTTTGAGGAGCCTATGTAGTCATAATAAATATATAAAAAAAAATCTTTTAAAAAATATGGCTAGCGATAACATTATAGTTACTTTTTAGCTGTTTGAGAACCATCGATTGCATTCATTTTAATATATTTGTATTGAATATACGCCGTTAAAAAGCCCTTTAGAATGATTTTTTCAATTCAAATATATTTAACTCTTGAATTCAACCGGAACGGCCAGGGAGAGTAAAACAATGAAAGTCATAATAATTGTTTTCCATGATCAAATACACAACAGTGGTCTATGATGCATAGCCTAGTATTGTATTTATATTCTTTTTAGCCAATGACTTAAATTTTTTTGAAAAAAATACGTTTATGTTAAAAAAGAACTGTGTTGTTCATAGTTTTACAATTAATATTGCTTAATTTTTACATTTCAAGTTAGCGGCGAGGCGTCTCAGATATTAGTCTTATGGTTTTAAAGAACTACAGCAAGTTATTAAACACGCAACACTACAAGATTACAATGTATCATAATAGTTTAGAGATGCATATTTAAGTTTTATTTTAAAAAATCTGTTAATGCGGCCGAACAATCCCTCCATAAGTATTTTTTTTCAACTTTTGTAGAAAAAAAAAACCCACAGAGACAAGAAATAAAACAAACACATTATCAAGTTGTGTAATATTTGTGTTTTGTATTTCATGCAAACATTTTCAACAATGCTTATTTTCTATTTTTTTTTTTTGAGTATTATAAGCAAATGTCATGTCATTGTAATAGTAAAATCACCAATCTATCTAGAATGGTTTACGTTATACTATTTATGTAAGGTAAAACATTTTATCTTAAATATACAAAAAATAAAAATTTCTAAATGCTCTGAAATAAAAAGTGAAAACTTTAGTAATCCTTCTTTCTCATAATATCTCTCTCTCTCTCTCTCTCTCTCTCTCTCTCTCTCTCTGTGTAATTTTTCTGTTACCCGTTGAAATAACAAATAAATTTCAGTTTACAAGATTTAAACATTTAACTAAATATAATAATATTTTACAGCAATAGTATTTTTTCGATCAAATAGATTTGTCGGAAAATAGGGCATCCACAAAATCGTTCATTTGAGCAAGAACCCATTAGGGAAATTGTCCATTCGGGAATTTGTTTTTTTTAGCAATCATCACCCAATCAAGAAGCTAAATTAAGTCCGTCTTTCTCAGCTTGTATCCATTTATATTGACCCAAGAGTACCAATTTAGTTAATGTTACGTAGCAATTGTAATGAAAGGGGTGGTCATTTGTAACTACACGTCACAAGAAGCAATGGTAGAGAGGCTAAATTGACCGATACGTTTTAGAAATGTATTTTAATCAACACTATTAAAATAATGAGAGCCACCACACCTAAAATAACAACCCACAATCCAGCACACAGCCACCGGAAATGTCGACGTTGTTGGGCCTTGACCTCTTTCAGACTTTCCGTCAAGTTCAGGATGACGTCATAACTAGCTTGCCCGGCCCTACTCTGGGGACGGAAATCCCCCGAGCCATTCAGGCTCGCCGACCCAAACTGTTCGGAAACCTCAATCGGAATCTCATCGATGTTGCCCGATCCTCGATTCATCGAAATCAGCGAGTTCACATTCTCTATCAGACATCGCCTCTGCTCCATCCGTTTTTCATAGCCCTTGACCTTGTTGTTGAAGAGCACGACCCTGTACTGGCATTCCTCAAACACGGCCTTGACATTTCCGGTCTGACGGCAGCACCACTCTAAAAACGACACACCCTCATTTTCCAATTCGAAGTTGTCTCCGTAAGACATTAGAATAATTCCTTTTTTCCTGAAGACGTCGTTACCAAAGAAGCTCTTGACTTTTTGTATAGCCTCTTGCTCCTGCAAAGTGAAGCGGACACCGTATTGCAGGACATACACCAGAATATGAAACCCGTTGACCCTTTTCATGACGTCGTCCAGAGTCGCTCGCAGGGTGTCCTCAGGGAGTCTGCAGTCATCCCCGGCGTCAGCAAAACCTGAGCAGTCGATGGCAGAGAGGTAGAGGTCCTCGCGGACTACCACGTCACGGACTAATTTCTTGTGGCTGTTGCGTGACATCAGCGAGTCCATGGATGACGTCACACCCACACCTGACCTGCCGATCACTAGAAGTCTACAAACTTGGTTCTTTCTCTCCATACCTGCTGTTTTACAAGATTTGTATATATATATATATATATATATATATATATATATATATATATATATATATATATATATATATATATATATATATATATATATACATGTCATTAATGACATGTATATATATATATATATATATATATATATATATATATATATATATATATATATATATATATATATATATATATATACACATGTCATTAATGTCGATATATAAAACTTAACGCAAGCACTTTATTGAACAGCCATTAAATGTAATGTTTTTGTATTTCAACAGTTTGTTTTCTTCTAATTGAGAATTTACTATAAACGTTACTCGAATCTATTGAGCATATTATTGTTTATATATAGATGTTTATTTTTTATTTAACCAAGCATAAGTAAAATATCAACAAATAGCAATCCAACACTGAGAGGACAGATGTGCTTGCGTCGTACCTCTACGCCCAGAGGTAATAAAACAAGAGTAAGCTCGTCCAAAAATTGCTCCTATATTTGGCCGGCATGACACTTCCAGTAAAACCGGGCCATAGAAATGGCAAGCAAAACATAGCGATCATTTTTGAGAAGACACATAGGCTTGAGAAGTTCTCGAAAAATAGGGCTTTATGAAAACTTGTTGTAAATTATCAAATTGGAAATCATTCACATTTTCCAATAGAATTATGAAAATAAGAACGACGACGAAGAAGAAACTCACAGACCAATTGAAATGTAAGTACTCGATCAAATAACTGTACATTGCATTTCTTAGACCTAACTGCAATAGTGCTCAAGCTGTCGTGTTCATACACACAGGCAGACTCGCACACACATGCATATAATATTGCAAAACTGGGCTTATCCGACTCAGGAAGGTATAAAACATTTGCTTGCAATGTTTCTAAAGTCAGATACTACCTCTAAACACTGTACACGAGTAATTAGACATGTAATGATTCCATGTCCATTCTCAAACATCACTTTTACATTTTCTTAGCCATCAATATATATATATATATATATATATATATATATATATATATATATATATATATATATATATATATATATATATATATATATATATACATATATATACATATATATATATATATATATATATATATATACATATATATATATATATATATATATATATATATATATATATATATATATATATATATATATATATATATATATATATATATACATATATATATATATACATACATATATATATATATACATATATATATATATATATATATATATATATATATATATATATATATATATATATATATATGCAGACGTATATAAAGACATAACTTACCTGTGCACACGTATGAATATTAATATTCAAATATTCAGTTATAAAAGCATCTCTCTCACTCTTCCTATCAATAAAATCCTTCTGTTTTGTTTTTGTGTTCTGACATAACCTAACGCCTCCTAGTGTAGGCAAATTGATATATTTATTATCACATTAACGTACCTGGTAGGTGTGATATCTTTGATGTGTCAGTACGCCCCCTTGGTCCAGATATTTCTGGAGTAGCTAAAAATAGATATATGCATTTCGACCAAGGTCAAGGCGATGTATACATCTGCAGCAGGTTGTGGTATGTTTTCTACAGAATGTTCTGAATTTTATCGAGATTGAATTAATGTTAGTATTAATCACAATATCATTCATTTTTTTAAAATCTTGAATATTAGATATGTGTTTAAGAATTGATAACCCGTAGACCTGAAACAATCTCCTTTGATGAAGCGAACATCTAGTATCTATGTAGGTAGTCTTAGTTCCACATAGAGGAAAAGTAGATTATTTCAATGGTTTTATTTATATAATTTATACTTTTTTTTGTTTTTGTTTTCTACCTATTTTATATTGTCACTTTTTCCACATAATTGTAAATAGATGCCGTATAGTTGATTGCATTTACACAAAAAGAATGTCATAGTTTACATCATGTATGCTAATTGAAGTCGTAAAACGTAATGAATACCTTGTACCTGCATGTATTTCATTTTACTTAGAAAAAAAATCATATTTTCCTCTCTCTATTTTTTTCTAATCTGCATTTTCTGTGCGGCTATTTCTGTTTTATTTCTTCCATAATCATTTTGTTTTTGCATATTATGCTGTTCAGGTTTAAATTTAAACTAACAACACAGAATTTTCTAATGAAAAAAAAGTGCGTTGTTATTTTTAATGTGTTTCTTTTTACATTTGACAATCATCGAAGTAAATAAAAAATTAAATAAATTATATAAATCATAAAAATAAAATCTTCAAAACCTGGTAAAATAGAAATATTGTATGTAGAATATAGAATCAGAAAAAAATAACGACAAGACATGTTAAAAATTATGCAGGAACAACAGTACAGTAAAAAAAAAACATCGATCATTCCTGTACAAAAAAAAAACATTTTTGGCTGCATAAACACGAAGACCAAGTGTCAAACATGACAAAATATCATATTTATTTTACTTTCTTTTACAACAAGAATAATAACATATTTCCTATAGATAAACCATTCCCCTTTACTCCAAAAAAAAAAAAAGAACAACAAATTTTGTGATTTACCGAAACTGACCCAACTGGTTGGTTGATCATCTTAATGTAGCAAAGCTTATCATTAAAATCATTCCTCCAGTTTCATGCGTGCATTAGCTATTACATGTCAATATAGTATAATTCTATATATTCTAAATTATTTTATATATGCTGGGTTCTATTGAGTTAAATTGTGCGTTGATAAGATTAGCTTTTGGTGGTGATCTCATTAATTACTATATATATATATATATATATATATATATATATATATATATATATATATATATATATATATATATAATTATTAATTATAATTGACCCGTACATTACAAAAATAACATAATTGCATTTTTTATGGTGCCTGAAATGTTTTGGCATTTGATAATTTGATGTACAAGAGTCGTCCCCTAAGTTCAGCTCTCTGACATGGATCTGTCAAACAAAGTATCTTAAAGCTGAACCAGCGGGGTAATTGTAACGAGATGTAACACACTCTCAACCAAACAACCTGTTCACAAGACGCCATACCTTCTTAACACCACAAGTAAAATGATCACAAAAATGACAGCAGCTATGAATAGAGCGTCTAATACATAAACTGTTACGTTGCTGATTCCAACATCGTAATGAACCGCTGGAGGCATCGAGACGCACAGTTCTTTATGTAAACTCTCAAAGTCCTGCAATGCGTACGGCCTAGAGATCTCATAAGAAAGATTGTTGACAGCTTGTTTCAGTTGTTCCCTCTGTCTTATTTTTTGCCCCACGTCCTTTGTTTTGTTATCAAACAACACAACCCTGTCTTTACACGTCGTCAACAAATCCTGAAAATAACCCGATTGTTCCTGACACCAATCCTCAAAAGGCGGAACACTTTCCGAGTTAAAGTTATCTCCATGCGTCAGTACAAGTATCCCCCTCTGTTCAAAAATTTTCGCTCCGAAATATTGCTTCACTTTCTTCACGGCGAGTTTTTCTTGCCTGGTAAAACGAACACCGAACTTTATAACGAACACTAAAGCTACAAAACCGGAACTCTCTCGTAAAGCTGCTGCGATAGACCGGAGAACCACAGAATCAGGTTGCTGCATGTCTTCTCCATCGTCGCCCACACCAGACCCGTCTGTGACAATAAACGTATCGTTTCTATGAGTCTGGAATCGGTCTCTGTACGTCTGGAACTGTTGTAGGACCGGACGTCCAGGATCTTGGCTGGTACAACAGACGGTGTCCGGATTTAACAAAGAGTGGACGGTAGACGTCACGCCATTTCCCGATCTCCCGACAACAAACAGACGAATTTGTTTTCCCGACATGGCCTGAGTTTGGCAAAATGGTACGCTAGACTAATGATGAAACTGCAAGACAAATGGTAAATCATTAATTAACTATAATTATTAAATGTAATCAAATTTTAACCCACTAATTATCGAACATACGAATCAAGTATTGCAGAAAACAAAATATCTATAAAATACACAGCATACTTAGCTTATAGAAAAACAATGATATTCTGAAAAATTTGATAGTTAATTTTAATAGTTCAAATAATTCATTCAAGATCCCTTGCTAACAGAGTCAGGTTAGAGTTGTGGATCCATAATACAAACTCTGCCTCACACAATAACTGATATATATATATATATATATATATATATATATATATATATATATATATATATATATATATAATTATGTATGTATACATGCATGTACCTCCTCAACATACTTTATTGAATATCTCACGTTCGGCTCCGTAAATAGGTACTACTTTAGTTCTGTAAAGTAAAGTACTATGGACATGGTACAACCTTAATGTTTTTCTATAGAGATTACAGAAACTCGTAAACTCTACTACATCTGTCATATTGAGCATGAGGTCTAATACAGTTTTTAATAAATCAATTATTCTAAGAATTACCGAATGCAACAACACAGTTCTTTTTGTGTTTTGAATTACTTTTAAAACAATAAATATTTTAATGACAGATCTAGTAGGGTACTCGACTGTGTTAATCCATTAGGTTAAGGCTACCATTTAATCCTTACTTATCTAGATGACGCCGTAGATTAACACAAGCACTAAATACGTAGGCCTACACATCAAGGCGGAGCCTTAGAATGATACTACGATTGAATACTTACATATTTCGGCAAAACCTCAGGATAATACTAGCATAGAATACCAACATATATAGGAGAAACCTTAGCATAATAATACTTTTGAATATTTATATATCTGGGCAAAACCTTACGATAATACTACCATTGAATACTTTCATATGTAGATAACACGGTAAACCACTACAACCATTGAATATGTACATATCTATATGTCACTGTAGGACACTACTGTCATTAAGTTGAATATTTACTTATCTAGATGACACCTTAGGATAAAACTAGCATTGAATACTTTCATATGTAGATGACACGGTAGGATATTACTATTGAATACTTACATATCTAAATGTCACTGTAGGACACTACTGTCATTAAATACACGTAAACGAGAATGTAGTATAGCACTATGCCAACACTAACTTACATGGCAAACACCTACAATGTGACACAGTACTGCGTCACTGGTTATCACAGTTCTGTGCTGGCTAGTGTATATCAGTTGACCACTAATCTCTGACTAATGGACTAAAGAACGGCGCTTCTATAAGTACACATTGACGGTGTGGTTCAGGGATAGAGCAGACGACGACAAACCCAGAAGTGATGCGTTCATTTCTCGAATAAACTTTTAACAGTGTCCGCAACCCCCCCCCCCACCCACCCGGAAAATTTTAATCCGCCCTCCACCCCCCCCCCCAAATTTCAAGTCCGTCCCCCCTGCGACGTTTGAATAATTACATTACAATACTGTCTAAAATTTCATGAACAGTCCTTAGCTGGATGTTGTTTTTTTTATGTTTATATGTTTTTAACAATTTAGCTGCTTTCTTTAGATAATTTTAAAATATCTATAAAATGTAATGTATAATGGAACTAATTAAAACAAAAAATAAAAATGCCCAATTAAGAGTCGGCACTAAAACTTTTTTTTTCAGAAAAAATAAATAACAAATTTTCCCGTATAGCAGTCAGTAAAATCATAAGCTAAATTAACACAAATAAAAATTGATTTACTTTTATTTTCATTAATGTATTCAAGTCTGTTTATAGACCTTTACATTTGTCAACACATTATTTAATGGTTTAAAGAAAACGACGTTCCTTTATGCCTGCATCAGTACAACCTTAGGATGAGTGTCAAGCACAATTTTTGATTGTAACAAAGTCCAAGCCAGAATTAAAATTACGGTATCGATACTGCAAAGAGCAGAAACAAGCAGTGCCGGCGCCCGGTTATTTAGCGCACTTGGCAAAAGTTACTACAACGCCCCCTCTCACACCAATTAATTACTAAAACATATGAATAAGAAAACAATTAATTAAAAGTGACATATTAATTTATTATCAGGGGCAACGCCCCCTCTCACACCAATTAATTACTAAAACATATGAATAAGAAAATAATTAATTAAAAGTGACATATTTGTTTATTATCAGGGGCGGAACTACAGTACCGCCAGACCAATGCGGGGGGGGGGGGGGGGGGGGGGGGGGGGCCGTTTATTGGCCCACAGCCGACCATAATCAATTTTTTTACAGTTAAAAAAAAAATTTCTTGCATTATTTACTTGATGGTTGTTTTGTATAAATAATACTGTAGCTGCGGTTTCATTATCTTTATTCTATAGACACCATCCCGAGTCCTCTTTCTCCTACAATCAAACACACGCTGTTGTCGGCAGAATTCTTTTGAAAATAAATCCATCGCGTAAAAGATAGGCAAACGTTCAAACCACTTCCATGACTTATTTCCCTT